TGTGATGTGTTTATTTCCATCACCCACATGGCTTTCCCAGTCAATACCTGACACAGGGATCCACTTTGGAGAGGTTCATATTTGGACATCTTGAACAGGAAGTCTCATTCAACCTGAAAGATGAGCTTAGGACGACGAGGATTCTCCTAGCACTAGTGGCTTTTCAGAGCTCAGTGCCCAAAAGACAGAGAAGCATGGTGCACAGGACTGGGGGTACGGGGCATGGTGAAGGGCAGGGGTCCGAGGGGAGGAGCCAGAGTGAGAGTGGGATCCAGAGGAGTGAGGGTCTGTAATGAGGCTGGAAACTGGGGCTACTGGGAAGCGAGGGTCTGCAATGGGGCTTGGATCCAGGGTAGCAGGGGCCCAGGATGAAGATGGAGTCTGAGGTCCAGGGGACTGAGGGCCTGAGGTTGGGGCTCAGATCCAGAGATCCAGAAGTCTGGTGTCACATAGAGCTTACGGGATGGAAATGTCCAGGGGAAGGCACAGCTTGATCTTGCATCTCTAACACCTCAGCTGACTCAGTTTACTTAGTAGAAGATGCTGCCAGGTCCTGGCCTCAAGCCCTGGTGCTCTCTTTACCCAGGGAGGGCTGAGTGTTGAGATCCACAGGACCCTGCCCTAGGATGTTTTTTGGCTACAGAAACACCCTTGGCTTGCCATCAAGGAGATGTCAAGCCGAGACCCATAGGCTGCTGGTAGGCTCAGTGCCCACAATCCGGGGAGAGATGGGTAGGCACAGCGGGCTCAGAGACTGCTCCTAGCCATGGGTGAGTGGAGGCCAGAGCTGAGGCTAAGCTGTCCCTGACACATCTGCACACCCTCATGACGCCGGGCCCTCACACTGGTGCTCATGCTCCATGCATGGGGCCAGTGCCCATCACAGACTGGCCCCGAACACCCAGGTCCTATAGGCAGAGAGGGGAGGAACCCAGGCATGAGGCTCCAGGGTTCTCTGAAGGCACGGAAGATGAGGAATGGACATAGCCAGCTCCCAAATGGGCATCTGTCCAACCAAAGGGCCAGCTTCAAGCCCAAATCAGAACTTCCACACCAGCAGGCAAACTGAGTTGAGGATGGGGTTTCAGCGAAAGGCTCGGCCTGGAGGCCCAAGTCTATCACCGGGGGGTGCTGGACTCCTGGCACCACTGTGAGGCCTTCTCCTCTCTCTCTGGAAACCCAGTGAGGCAAGACGAGGCTGCTATGATGGAGCCACTGCTCAGAGCCACTCCTTGTCTCTGCCCTGGACGCTTGATTTCTGTAGACCAGCCAGTAATTAAAAGCACCAATTAATCACTGAGGCCAAGCCAGGGTTTCCAAGACATGATGGCAACCCTCTCAGGCTGGCTGGTAGAGAGGCCCAGGCCAGGGCTGCAGCAGACCCAGGAGACACGTCAGCATTCACATTCGTGGCCCCACGTGGCCTGCCCCCAACAACACTAAAAACTATGGACATAGCCTCCCTGACTATCCAAGACCAGGGCCAGGCAGAGGGTGGGCAGGATAATTTGAGGAGCGACAGCAAGGTTACCTCCTCCATAATGGCATTTAGCCCCCAGAAGCCCCTTGCTTCCCACTCAGCTTTTCCAAAGCCCAGCAAAGACAGCCTTTCTGAGCTGGCCACCCTATAAGGCTTTGGGGCTCTCTGTGGCTGGAAGATGTATCCTAGAGCCCTCCAGGTCAAGACTGGCCAGGCCTCAGGTCTTGCATGCATAGGGGTGGCTGCAAATCAACACCTCCTTCTTTGCAGGTGCCCTGAGACCTCCGTTAGGGATATGGGTGTATCAGCTGTCTCATGCCCCAGGGCTGACAGTTCAGACTTTGCCAATCAGATCATTTCCCTGGAACCAGAAAGCCCTCTACATGAAGGTAAGGTCATGCGGGTGGGGGCAGGTGGGAGCAGGAGGAAAAACTAAGAGAAGGGGAGGCCAGGAGGTGGACTGAGAGGTCCACTGCAGCCTTGCTGTTCTCAGATACCCTGTGTTTTCTGCTGCCTCAGTGCCTTTGCACAAACCTCCATTCCCTACCCTGGGAGTGCCCTTTCCTTTCTCTCCGAGAGATCCGAAGCTGCAGGTTTCAGCTTGTCACCTCCTCAAAGCTGCCTTCCTGGATCCCCGCCCCATGTGGTGAGTGTCTCAGCCCCTTGGTGTGTCTGCTGTCGGACCCCTCCTCAACACCAGCATCTTCCAAACAGGTAATGTGTGGTGCAGTTCTGTAATGGGCTCCCCAGAAAAGCCCCTGGCACAGAGTGGGGTTTCATCGATACCAGTGAACATGTGAACCAGGTGCCGCCAGCTCCTTCTCTCAGAGATATATCCTGCTGTCTCCTCAGGGTGAACCTAGCCTAGCAGCTGAAGACATGAACCATGGTCAGTGATAATGGAAGATGAGGCTGGGAAGCACAAGGCAAGTTTAGAGGCTTTCAGGACGGCTTTGGGTGCCGCCCCTTGTGTCAGCAGCCCACCCTGGACTGTGGGGGCTGCTCCCTGAATGCTGCCCTCTTATGCACACATTTGCTTTCAGTGGCCTGGGCCAAACCCTGGTGGGGAGCTATGCATACCATTGGGGTGTGGCCTCCACGTATATACGACAGAGGCTCCCCATCAGTCATGGGGTGGTCAATGCAGCCCTGTAGCACCTCGGACAACACATGCCACATCACTGTGACCTAGCACAGGACTGCCCCTGCTCAGCCTCTTCTGCTCCAAGGTCCCAAAAGTCACCTGTCTGTGTCTTAGGGACTTGGGCATGGCTGTGTGCTGTTCTTCATGGGTCAGTAGGGAGCAGGGAGAGGCTGCCTGCCCCATCTACCCAATGCAGCCTACGCGTCACTTTGCTGGGAGAAGAGAGATCTTTTTGAAAACCGACCTGGTGTCAGAGGGCACACTGGGTACAAGAAGGGGGTGGGATCTATTCCCACACGCAGGACAATTTGGACCGGGTGTGTCATCTGTGCCCCCTACTCCTAAATCCTGCTTTCAATTGCATGGGGCCCGAGGGCCAACAAATTGGGCCCATGCCCCCAGGGAGCCCCCACTGGGGCCTTCCCTCAGTGCCCTCAGGTTGTGGAGAGGGGACCAGAAGTGGAAGGCAGGTCCTCCAGAGGGGAGCCACTGCAAACCAGCAGGGGAGGGTGTTCCTTGGCAGGTGACCCAGCACAAGGAGGCATGTGGCAGGAGGGGAGGCAAAAGAACAGACCACTCCTGTACTCTGCCACCAGGTGGGAGTGTCCCAGCACTCCGTTCACTTTAAAGAGCCAGCGCACCCCCTACCCCCTTTCCTGAAGGTGAAAAGTGTGGCTCACTGACCTCTGGCAAGCAGGTTAGTCCATGACCAAAGACAAGAGGAGTTCCGGTCACCCGCAGGTGGCAGGAGACCTGGGCCGGCACAGTCCAGATGCGAGGCCGGGAGGGGACCAGGGCAGACCCAGTGAGGCGAAGGCCTCCCCCCTAGCTGGGCGGTCAGAACAGTCCGGACCGTCTGGCCCACCAGCTCTAAGTTCTAAGACCCGCATCTACGCTTCTAAGGAATTCACAGCCCTGGGCGGTGGTGGACCCGTTGAGTGCACGATATCCTGTGACGGGGTGGGGGCAGGAGGCGCAGTCCTGCGCATAGGCGGTGCGTTGTCCTCCCCTGGGTTGGTAAAGGTGCGGCGGGAGAATTCGACTACACCGGCCGACTTCCAGTTTGGAGTTTTCTGGTGACAGACCAGCATCTCCTGTTGCCAGAGAAAGGGCATCACTCTTGTTCCTAGCTGAGGTAGGGTCACCTGGGGCTCGTTGGTCCCAAGTTCGGAGACACCTATAACCATGCCAGCCGTTGGGGAAAGGGGTGTTGTACCGCGAGGCTCTACGCAGCCGGTCGCCTCCCAGCGGGTTCGGAGAAAGAATCCGTGCTGCCCTCGGGAACCGGGCGGCCCAAGGCCAAGTCGCGGGGGCGGCCTCCGAGCGGTGGCCCGGCGCTTGCCTCCGGGGAAATGTCCCTTCCCCGACCCCACCGCCCCCCTCCCCGAAAACTGCACACCCCGCCCACCTCCTCTCCTCCGCAGGCGCGCCCACCTCCTCCACTCCAGGATCCCCGAGCGGCCTCCACCTCCGCCGGACCACCCAGGACCGCCCCGCCGGACTGTATCCCCGTCCCCACCCCCCCGGGTCACGCCCGGAAGGCTCTGGGCCCCCGCGTCCGGCCACGCCATCCGCCGGGCGGCCCCAGGGACTCAACAGCTAGAGTCAGCCCAAGTCTCGCCCAACGTTCCCACCCCGCACCGCTGCTCCGGCTTCTAGGGCCGCGCCCCCACAGGTCTTTCCAAGCTCGTATCCGGATGGAGCCAGGCACTTGGGATCACCCCGCTCCGAGCCCGAGCCGAGACTCCTCGCGTTACTCGAACGTGTCCTGCACGCAGACTCAGGGCGCGCCGGACATTCTGGCAAGTTTCGCGGGCCCTGCGGGGGGTGAGCTTCGGCTTTGAGGAGAGTAGGCCGAGCCGACCCTCCCCTGGGCCGCAAGCTGGCAGTCGTTGACCCCGGAGCCTCTGGGCTGCAGGGCAAGACGTCAAGGCTCAAGACAGGCTGGTGGGGGAGGCCCCTGAGGACCTGCCTACTCGCGGAGTGAGCTACCGAGGCTGGGCGACTGGGCAGGGGCAGGGTGCACAGGGGCCACCGCTCGCCCGCTGAAGGAGCAGGGCGGAGAGCCCGGGGGTATGCTGAGTACCCACTGTCCCCATCTCTGACCTTTTCCTTCTCACCCCTCCTGGAAGGGAGGCCCGCGGCATTGGGGGACGATTCGGCGGGCGGGTGCACCGTTAGGGATCTAGTCCTTGGCTGGCTGGCGCACCGGACCCCACGTGGTTCAGCGCCGGGCGGGGCGCCCGGGGTCGCAGCGGGAATCCCGGCGCTTTCTTTAAGGTGGGGGGAGGGGCGGGGGCGACCAAACTCCGCCCCCGGGGGCAGCGGGCCGCGCGGGCGGGCCAATGGGGAACCTAGAGAGGGGCGGAGCCTCGCTATCGCCGCTTAAAGAAACTTGTTGCGGGTCCCTCCGCGGGACTGAGCTTCGGCGGCAGGCGGGACAGCAGTAAGACTGGGGACGGCGGCGGCGAGGCGACGCAGGTCAGGCCGCAGCACGGTGACCTTGGGTCCCAGAGGGGCCATAGCGAAGCCCGGCATCCGACCCGGTGCGCATCTCCAGTGCACGCCCCTTCGCGTGCGGCCCAGATGCTGGACATGACCGAGACCCGCACCCAGCCGCCCTGCAGCCCGTCTGGCACGGCCAGCTCTATGTCGCACGTGGAGGACTCGGACTCGGACTCGCCACCGTCGCCTTCGGGTTCCGAGGGCCTGGGTCGCGCGGCAGGCACGGGGAGCAGTGGCCGGAGTGACTCGGCCGAGGCGGCAGACGAACGCTTCCCAGCCTGCATTCGCGACGCCGTGTCGCAGGTGCTAAAGGGCTACGACTGGAGCCTGGTACCCATGCCGGTGCGCGGTGGCGGCGGCGGCGCGCTCAAGGCCAAGCCTCATGTGAAGCGGCCCATGAATGCCTTCATGGTGTGGGCGCAGGCGGCACGCCGTAAGCTGGCCGACCAGTACCCACACCTGCACAACGCCGAGCTCAGCAAGACGCTGGGCAAGCTGTGGCGGTGAGTGTCCCCAGTCTGGGAGTGGGCGCTGCGCGTGAGTCCTGGGGGGCTTGGGGCGGTGGCGCTACGCCCAGTCTCAGCCCTGCTCCCAGTGGTTGTTCCCAGGGCGAGTCCTAGTGGAAAAACACCCTTTGGCCAGCAGGGACCAGGCGCGCTGGCCCTCCGGGTGTGGACCCACAGAGGGCAGCAGCAGGAGTGTGCCACTCTTACCACATTTCTGGAACCTGGAACGGGAACAGCCGGCAGAAGGTGGTGGCTGGCAGTTGGGGGCCCCAGCTGTAAGTGGCCTCAGAGCCTGGAAGCCTGTTCATCCCCCAGGAATCGTAGCCTCTTGTCTGGGAGCAGGACACAGCAGTGGGCAGCATGCTGCTGTCTGGAGGCAGTGCTCCTTGGAAAGGGCAGAGGGAGGGTCTACTCCGCTGGCAGCTTCCCCATGCAGCTGCATGGTTTGGCGTAGTGAAGCTGGTGGGTTTTTGCCGAAAGTTGGACAGCAGCACTGAGAAGGTTGTGGCTCACCCCACCAAACACTGTCTGGGTTTAAAGTGGACAGCTTTGGGTTTAGGGCACTGGTACACCGTTCCCCCAGTCTCACCTCATGAGTGGGATCTTAAAGCTTGCACGTTGGTTCTCGATGCTACTGCTTCTGGTCTATATGGGGTGCCGTGGACCTGTGCCTCTGTGTCCCAATGCCCTGTCCCAAAGGCACTGAGAAGTGAACTGCTGGAAGAGTCTGAGGGGTCAGTGCATGTTCCAGGCCTCACTGAAAACCACTGGGTTTGCCAGTGTTTCTGGAGGTCTGGGAAGCCCAGTTGTCAGAAGAGTCCCACCTTGGTTCCCAGAAAGCCCACTTTGTCCATAGTGTGTGTATTCTCAGCTGGGTCTTGCTCTCCTCCCCTGCCTGTCTGCCTTAGAAAGCCCATAAGGAAGGGAACAAATGCAGGCTGGGCTAGGGAAGTCAGAGGAGGAAAAAGGAGATGAGAGATATGGGTCTTGTTACTGCTTCTTCTTTGACTCTTAACAAGCACCCAGACCTCACCACCTGGGCACCGTGGCTGAAAGAGGGGGAGTACTGCCCACTGAGGAGCGGGTGCACTCAGGCTTTTCTGGCTGGGGTCGTCCTGATCCCCTTCCTGCACCTCCCCTGGGGCATGGTCCAGCCTCTGGGCAGTATGGACACCGGTGCTCGTCCTGACGCCCTTGCCACCCGATTGTGCTCTTGGCTCGGCAGCTTGCTGAGTGAGAGTGAGAAGCGCCCCTTCGTTGAGGAGGCAGAGCGTCTGCGGGTTCAGCACAAGAAGGACCACCCAGATTACAAGTACCAGCCTCGCCGGAGGAAGAGTGTGAAGACAGGCCAGAGCGACTCGGACTCAGGCGCCGAGCTGGGCCACCACCCCAGTGGTGTCGTGTACAAGACTGATGCGGGCCTCGGCGATGCACATCACCACAGCGACCACACAGGTTGGCTTCTGGGGTCCCCAGTGTCTGAGAATCCTCATTGGGAGAAGCTGGGGTTCTGGCCGTAGCAGAGATGAACAGTGGGGGAGGGAACAGGAGCTCACTCCCAGGGCAGGCACGCAGAAGAGAACCAAACCTTCCCTGGGTATTCTCCAAAAGCTCCCAAAGCCCCGAGTGGCCGCCACTGTTGACGCACGCTCTGGGTTAGGAGAGTACCCGGGTTAGCTCTTCTAAGCTTGAGGGTCTCACAGCTCTGCCGGGTTGGCACTCTGTGGTGTGGGTTTTCTGTCCTACCCAAAGGCATCTCTGCCTCCCCGGGATTTTTTTGTTGGTTCTGACCCAGGACTCACTCCTACTGCTGGCATGGTGGTCAGCTGCCCAGCTTCTGGATCCAACTGACTGGGGCGCAGTCTCGGCCCCCAAGCAGTCTCGGTTAAGCTGGCTACAGTCACAAACAGGGTTTGTGTGGATTGTGTCGCTGTCCTGTGCACAGGGCCGGGCGCTCCTGGAGAGCTTCCTAAACGTGGCTATCTCTTCGTTCTCCACCATGGTTTTCACTCTGGGGCCTCCTTGGCCCTGGGTCTTCACATAGAACAGTGTTTAATGGAATTTTCTCGGCCAAGGAGTGAGGTCTGGGTCTGGCTTTGCTGGAATTTCTGGGAAATGTACAAGAACAAAAAGCTGTTGATTCCTACCTGCGGCTGTTAGCGGGCTGGTTTTCCTCCTGTGTGCATGTCGCCAGCCCGCCGGCCCTGCCAAGCCCCACCTCCAACCCCCACAGAAAGGGCATTTATCCCTGAAATGTGCTCTGACCCTAGGGCAAACCCACGGGCCACCCACCCCACCCACCACCCCCAAGACGGACCTGCACCAAGGGGGCAAGCAAGAGCTAAAGCTGGAAGGCCGCCGCCTGGTGGACAGTGGGCGCCAAAACATCGACTTCAGCAACGTAGACATCTCAGAGCTGAGCAGCGAGGTCATCGGCAACATGGACACCTTTGATGTTCACGAGTTTGACCAGTACCTGCCCCTCAATGGCCACTCGGCCCTGCCCACAGAGCCTGGCCAGCCTTCCACCTCTGGCTCCTACGCCGGAGCCTCCTACTCACACTCGGGGTCAGCGGGCATTGGGGCGTCCCCTGTATGGGCCCACAAGGGAGCCCCGTCGGCCTCCACGTCACCCACTGAAGCAGGTCCCCCTCGGCCACACATCAAGACCGAGCAGCTGAGCCCTGGCCACTACAGTGACCAGTCACACAGCTCTCCAGGCCGTGCCGACTACAGTTCCTACAGCGCCCAGGCCAACGTCACCACGGCCACCTCTGCTGCAGCCCCCAGCTCCTTCACCAGCTCCCAGTGCGACTACACTGACCTGCAGGCCCCCAACTACTACAACCCTTATGCAGGCTACCCGTCCAGCCTTTACCAGTATCCCTACTTCCACTCATCCCGCCGGCCCTATACCTCGCCCCTGCTCAGCAGCCTCTCTGTGCCGCCTGCCCACACTCCCCCCAGTAACTGGGACCAGCCAGTGTACACCACCCTGACCAGACCCTGAGGATACCGTGGTCGACTGAAGAGGGCCGGCATGGGCGGAGGAAAACCTTTACCGGCAACGACAGCCTCTGAGGTCTCCCTGGAGGTGTGGGCCAGCAAGGTGAGAGGAGGCAGCAGCAGCGTGTGCCGGCTCCATCAAGTGCCTGCTGATGTGTGCAGGAAACCGACCAATCCCCTCTGCTTCCAGATCTCCAAACTTCCATCAGTGGACAAAGCCCTCTTTTCCTCCTCCTCTCTCTCTTTGTGGTGACTGACAACTTCAAAACGAAGGATGGTCATTGGGTCCCTTTTCTGCGCAGACACCAGCGCCTTGGTTTTGCAGCACAGTGGAAGCAAAACGGGGCCACAATACAAAGGACAAAAGGAGGGAAGAGGCACAGTGTCTCCAGGCCTCCTGCGTTCTGTGCTCCCGGCCAGCCCCAGCACCGGGAACTCCCAGGACCAGTGGACAGCACCCCTGCAGCGAGAGGGCACACCCACCGCCTTGGTGGGGATGCATCTGGAGGAGCAGCTGGGCAGCGTCACATTCATAGGGGCACCTTGGCGAGGATGGGTCTGCAGGAGCATCTCTGGGGACCAGCTCGTTAGCTCTGAGGTGTTCCTTGTAGTGATTAACACTTCTCTTTTATTTTTTTATTTTTTATTTTTGAAACTTAAATATGTTGGATTTGTTTTGAAAGCTGTTAAAATGTATTTATGTCCTGTGTTATTTTATCTTTAATTAATGAAGTAATTTGTGCAGAGTAGAATTTAAGATAAAACGGACGCCTAGGAGCTGAGGACTTGGGGCAGGAGGCAGGTGGGGTTGGGACCCTCGTTCTGGCCTTTTGGGGCCTGGCTGCTGGGAGGCATCAGGGAGGGGCTGAGCTCCAGGCTCCCAGGAGGCAGCTGGGACTCGGAAGGAGAAGGAGTTCGCCTTGTAGTGTGTCTTCGATCAGGTTGGGGTGCTCCTGGCACCAGGTATTAACTTGGGGTGTAGAAGTCAGGGACGTTGTTCAGTTTCATCCCTGCCCACAACTGTGCTAAGTGGTAGAGATGGGAATTTCCTGGGATGTGGTGGTTTCAGAAACACATTAATCTTGGCTCTTAGGAACCAGGCGCCACCTCCAAGCTGTGAAACTAAAACCTTATTCACTAAGTGTTTTTAGATTCTTTGTTTTAGGCAAATAATATCTGACTTACCTGTACTGCTTCCACTGTATGCTGAGCTATGGTAACTGCCAATTTCATGGAAACTTGTGCCTTTAAACTTTGTAAATTTAAATACATTGGAGAAGTTGCTTCTTTTTACTTTTTCTACTCTACCTACCCTTTTCTAGAAAAGTCTTTTTTGCATATCTTTCTCTGGGGGTGGGGGGACCGGGAACTACAGCAAACTCATTTTTATGCAATCTTATTTTTCGGTGTTGAGTTTGGACTTTTGTTCTCGCTTACCTGCTGTGTTTCGCTACTTTCTGACCAAGCAATGCTAACTTTTGTACAGATCAATTTGATAAAATTAAAAAAAAAAGCTTTCTACCTTCGTGGGCTGCGTTGTGTTTGTTGCTTTCCCTACGTCGGGGGGCGGTAGGGCTCCAAGGCCCTGGGTCCTGCTTTGACGGGGCTCAGCCAAGGCAGGGGCGGATCTCTCCAAGCCTCAGAGAACTTGGACAGTCGGAGCCCCCAGGCCCACCCAGACCCCCACTGAAGGTGGAGACCCATCTCCGTCCGAGGGATGGGGGATGGCCAGACCACCCTCCCTCTTGGGCGCTGTGTCTGAATTTGAATATGACAGATCTCAAAAACCTCCAGGAAGCCAGCGATGGATCTTCCTTCCTGGGGGGCCCCCTCAGTACGCAAAACAGGTCCAGATGGGCCAGATTCAGGGGCTGTGGTTCCTCCCAGGCGAATCCCAGAGCGGGTTTCTGGGTGGCTGACGGCATTTTTCGGGCGCTGGCACAGGGCCAGGCTGGGAGCGGGATAAAAGCTGCCCTGCAGGAGCTGGGCAGGGCTGTCTGGTTGGCGGAAAGTGTTTCTAGGGAGAAATGGTTGTGGGGAGTGACAGCGAGCAAGGGGCAGCCTAACCCCCTGGCCGGGCCTCCCCGGCACACGCGGCTGGCTCAGGGGCTTCTTGGGGCTGGGGGGTAAGAGGGAGTTTATGCTTCTCGTGGGAACCCAGATACACGAGGCAGCTGCCTTTGCGATTTTAATGGGGTGGCCCAAGTAGGGGGATGATCACCCCATCCTCTCACCTGCCTGGACACCTGTGTGGCTTCAATCTAGGGCATGTCCCTTGCCCGGTGCTGGGGGGCCATATCTAGGGACTGCCAAGAGTAATGTTTGGGAAGAGCTGATCGGATTTATGAGTGTTGGTGCGGCCCAGGGTGTGCTAAATCTCTGGGGCAAGGTGGGATGTGGGAGGGGGCTACGGAAAGCCGAGCTCGTGGACCCCTAGACTTTCACAGCCCTCCGCCTGCATGGAACTGGCCCAATCCATCCTGTGTCCAGCCAAGGGCCGTCCAGGTCCATATGGCTCTCAGAACTCTCCTATTGACACCCCAAAGGCTGGAATCCCGGCGTCCGACTCACTGATGGGGTGAACGAGGCAGCCTCTTGGCTGCTGCAGGTTTGCTTAGGCCTTGCCAGGCTCCCAAGGGCCGGACATTCTGTAGTTTTGTTTGGACCTGGCGGGGCTTCTGTGTGTTAACTCCTGGGGGCCTGGCCCTCCTTCCCACCAACCTACCCTGGTATAAAAGCTTTGTGACACTGGGTCCTGATGGGTTTCGTACCTCTGAGCTCATGAAGCTTCAGGGAGAGGAAGGACAGGTACCACTACCTTGGGGAAACTATGCCCCTGCCTGGGCCGAGGGCGTGAAGATGAGAGGCTCTGCACTTTCCCCCCGCCTGTTCCAGGCCGCGTCTTCTCTCTGGAGGCCCTGTTGCTGGCTTCCCCGCTAAGCATCCTCAGGCACTGAAGAGCCCTAGCGTTTCGGGGTCCCCGTCTCCTTCCGTGATGCTCTGGGGTGGTAACCCAGGTGGATGTCCTAGGGGTCAGGACCTCCATGAGGGATCCTGGGGACTGTCCTCCAGCTGGTGAGGGTTTTTAAGAAGCTCCTGGCTGATGACATTATTCACAAGGCCAGCTTTGGCCCTGCCTTGCCCCAAGTCCAAGGTGGTGTTTGTCCAAGGTTGTGCAGAAACCTGTTCTCACCGGGAACAGCCTATCCTGGGGGTGGGCTAGTGGGAAAGTTCCTCATTTTTTATTTCCTCATCCAGAAAAGAGCACGTTGCCTCTGATCTCAGCTGAAGAGAATGCCCTGTTCAGAGAGAAAGGGGAAATGGCGTTTATGATGCAGCCTGCTCTGAGAGAGGAGAAAAGCCCCGTCTGGCCCCAGGCACAATAGCCCTTCCCGGGACGATATCGACTTTCAGGACCGGATTTTCTGTTTAGATGTGAGTTCACGGCCAGTGTATCTGTCAGCTTTGGGGGAGGGCTACGGCCTCCAAGCAGCTGCCTGGGAGAGGCCTGTGGCCCCCACTCACCAGGCCTGATTCAGGAGTCAGATTTGGGGTACACACAGCCTCCTTTGACTTCAGGCCACATTTAAGAGCCCTGGGTGGGTGTCACGGCCTTGGGGTCCTGGGACCCCAGTGCTTTTTCCCCAGTGTCTGGCCTAGGGGATCTTCGTAGGCCCTGTCTCTGGCTGACCAAGTCTACAGGGGCTGCTGACCATCACAGCTGGGGGATGTTTCCTAGTGGCGACATGATGGCCACCGAACACTGAACAAGCCCTTGCCACCTGTGTAGACAGCCTCCTTGGACCCATTCCACCAGGCTCACAGAAAACCTGTGTCAAGCAGGACCCAGTCTCAGAGCCACGGAATCAGCATTGCCAGATCCCCCTCCCACTGGAGGACATTGCGGATCCCAAGACAGGGAGATGGGGCTGCCACCACCAGGTACTTGGGCCAAGGAATCGTTCCAAGGGAAGAAGACTGTAGATGCAGGGTGCCAGTCAGCACAGCCCCAGACCCGGGGCCCTGCTACCTGAAGCCTGCTCTGTGGCCCTGACCCATCCTGGGGACGTGACAGCGGAGCTGCACAATCAGGTGAGGGGCTGTGCCTCCTGACCACCTGTAGCCCCTGACCAGGACGTGCTCAGGAGCCACAGACACTCACCTGGTCTCTGTCACTCCTGGAGCCCCCACATTCCACGTTGTCAGGGAAAGGGAGGAACTTCATCTCCCTGTCTGCGTTTTGGACGGAAGGTTTGCGTCCTAGTGCTGCCTCCTTCCTGCCTCATCCCGATGGAAGCTTGCCCACGTGGGTTCTCCTGTATCCCGGAGGGAGCAGGTCTGCAGATGACACCTTCCCAGGTGGGGGCTGTCGGGGCTGCAGGAGTCTGCAAAGGAGGAAAGTTAGGGAGGGAACGGGCAAGAGCGAGAGATGCCCTGGGGCGTGGGCCCCACCCTCAAGGGAGGGCCATCCTGGAGCAGAGAGGGGCCAAGTTCTGGTGCTCAGGGACTTCATCCCGCTGTGTTTCGGGACCTGGCTTTCCTCTGGGAGCTTGGTTTTCCCACCTGTAAAATGGGAATGTTCCTTATCCTGGTGCTGGGGGAACTCAGTGAGACTGGGACCTGCTGCAACGGAGCACTTTGAACTGATGCTTGAAGGGTGACTGTTGGTGGTATTATTATTACTTCCAATCATATGATGCTTCTTTTTGCTCATTTGCAAAAGAGGGTTTGCTAGTAAGAAAATTAAGTGAAAGTGAAAGCAGCAGAGAAGGTGCATTTGAATAGAGGTAGGGGGCTCCGCACGCTTCTCCTATCTCTACCTCTGGGACTGGATCCTCTTGCCTCAGTGAAGCGCCTCCAGTCTTCCCCACAGGAAGGCTGATTGAGCCAGTGGTTGCAGGCTCTGCCATTTGTCAGTATATCTCTCTGTACCTCAGTTTCCCTGAGGATTAAACCAGGTGTGGCCAAGGCCAACACATGGACACATGAGACAGGCACTTTCTGGCTGCATCCTGCTGGCAGACTCATCCCTGGACTTCTGGGAATTTCGCTCCTCTCGCCTTGTCTCTCCCAGCCTTGCAGTGACTTGTTGTGTGGCCCCTTCAGCTCAGCCCTGGAATGGCTGGTGGAGGGGCTCAGGTAGCCTCCGCTGCCCAGGTAGGCTGTCTGCTGTGGCGTCCTGTGTGTGCATGGCAGAAGCCCTCTCTCTGGCCCCTGTCTTTCCCAGAGGGGTGGGGCCAGACCCTGAGCTCCCCCAGCTCTGGCTGCCATGGGAGACAGTCTGCGATGCTCCCTAACCAGCTCAGGTCAGCCTCTTCCCTGAACACCAGCAGCTGCAGGAGCCCCACTCATCTGCTCCCCAGAGGCTGAGGTGAGCTGGCACCCCAAGCCGGGACCCCGCAAAGGGTTAAGGGGTGCGAGGCCTGGCAGGGCAGAGCAGCCAGGCTGGTACACGGCCAACAACTCTAGGGAAGGCGCTGCATTTTAATGAATCATTATTGCCGGGAGGCCTTTGTCTTTCTTTATCCGGTGCACAATAAAAGAATTAATTAGACAGAAAATGGCAGGGCAAGGAACTGACAAGTCATTACGGGCTGCTGAATGACCGATGAGATGCACGCTGGGGTGGATTTCAGCTCCAGAATGATAATGGCTGGCTGGGTGCTTTGTATGCGCAACCAGCGGCCTCTGTGCGGGCATTGTGGGCACGGACACTGGCCAGCCAGAGCGGAGCAGCGCCAGCCTCGCTTTCCAAAGGCAAAGTGGGCAGTTGGACTTCCCCGGCAAAATCAGGGTATTAATTTTTGCGTGCGGACAATGGCAGTAAATATTTAGATGCAGAGGGACTTTGGGTAAGGGTTCTGACCCCCAGACTCCAGTTCCCAGCTCAGGGGACAGAGGCCAGCAGTGGGAGTGCTCCCTGCACTGGGAGAAGCAGAAGACAGGGAGGGGGAAGGAAGAGGGGAAGGGAAGGTGAAGAGAGAGATGGAGAGGAGAGAAAAGAAGGAATTGGAGAGGAGGGGAGAAAAAAGAGAGAAAAGGATACAGTAGGGGAGGAGAGAGAAGGGGACGGGAGGGGAGGAAAGTGGGGAGGAGCTCCGAAAACTCAGAAGGAGCTCCTCGGAGCCTGCCCCGCCCTCTTATAGCTTCTGCTGTCATGGTTATTTAGACTCCACCAGGAAAAAAGTGCCACCCACAGATCCGGTTCACTCCTCTGAGTGGGAGCAAGATCAGAGAGCTTGTGAGTTGGGCCTACAGAGTGGGGCCTGCTACCCACAGCTTCTGGACAGTGGGAGGCTCAACCTGTCCCATCCCTACGACCTTGCAGCCCTCTGGGGGCTGAATTTGAAAATCGCCTGGAGCTGCCGGCTCCCTGGTTTCCTGCAGCTTTGATACTCATCCAGTTCCTTCGGTGGGTGTTGTCTCAGGAATTCGAGGAGTGTGCGTAAAACCCAAGGCAGGTTG